CAGAGCGGCGGCTGAAGGCAGTGGTTGGGTGTCGGCGGGGCGTGGGTGGGTCGGGAGGGGGAAATGATGGAGTTTGGGTGGAAAATGATCCTTGCGTACTAGGTGGGATGCTGGGAAGATTGTGTGCAGAAATGAGGAACGGTGCATTTCACAGAACTGCTTTCTCAGAGATGACACAGATTTTGTTACGGTGATATCTTCCTCTGTTACTTGGTTAATTACGTTCATCCTCTTGATTTTAAGGAAAAAAGGATGAGAAACTCTTGTGCTTTCAAAAGTACTCTTTTTAAACCAGGAATCAGATTTGAGTCCGTGCAGCTCGTCGTTAAATCATAACCTCGGCATGAGTCTGTAACGCACTGCTGTGTCTTGGTTACTAACTGTACATCCTGAGGGCATGAATACAGCGCTGGCATTTCTAGTAACGTGATGACAGAACAGTGGATTGAGGTGGGAGGCAGCAGTGATGTTGCTAAATTCATCATCTGTGATAATGATACAAGCTTCTTGTCTAAATTTATGCATGCAATCAGGGCAATAGCCCCGTAACATTAAAGGGTGCAACTTGTGCACTTACGCCAAGAACCAAATAGCATTGCTATCAAATGAGATGTAACTTTAGTGCGCTTAATTAAAAATACGGGGTGTTTATTGGAATCAAAGTATATCTCTTCTAATCACCAGCATCACCTTACTGTTCTTTTTATGAAAAGGCAAAGTCCAAAATGTTCAATTCTGAGTGCTCAAAGCAGAACTTTCTTCTTGCCGAGACACCAAAACATAATATATTCATTGCCGTAGGTGCTGCATGATCCTAAATATCATGTCAGCTTAGCGTTCTGCACAAATGCAGAGGTTCTGTTGGTGTAAGATTTCCAAAAGAATTAACCTTAAATATTTATTTAGGGTCTTAATACAAAGAATCTGTATTTGGATTACTATGACGGAAATTGAAAAAATCTCTGTAAAAATTAACTTTACTGGTGGTCTAGCAAGTAAATTACATGCTTCCATTAAGAGCACGTATTTAATATCCACACATCTAAGGCTGGACAGTGTGGACTTCGAAGATGACTGGCACAACTGACATACAAAGTGCTATTCAGCAGTCTGGAGAGTTTTAAGAATAATTTGTAGCCAAAATTGTGTGCTTTCCCTGTAAGTAGGGGGCCTGTCTGCACAGCAGGTGGGCCAGCGTTTCAAGCTTGGATTCTAGGGCGGTAGCTGCCTCTGGAAGTAACTGTGATACGTGGTTTACTGCATCCCACAGTCGTGATGCTGTGCTCCCAGGTAGCTGTGACAAGGTATGATGTGTTCCTTAAATTCAGTGTGTCAGAAATGTAAAGTGGAACCAAAATTTTGCTTGTCATGAGGGGTGATTTCGGTAGCCATAAAAGTAAAAAGGAAGCTACTTTTGCAGTGCCTGTTTTGGATCAGTTCAGGAGAAGCTATTTCTAATTACTTTGCATTTACCAGGGGGCAGAGAACTCGCGTGCAAGCGGTTACTGCAGAGCAGTTAGAAAGGCGTTTGATAGTGTTCTGAGTTATTTCGACTGTTCTGACTTGCTTTGCTGTTTTTTTTTTTTTTTTTTCAGTCTTGCCTCTTAATAAAGTCTAACCTGAGGACAGGGACTTGAACTTAACCAGAGTTTGGATCTTTATTTTCTTCTTCCTGGTGTACTTGCCCTCTGGCTTACAGTAGTTTTCTTGTCATCTTCAGAATCCTGGTATTAAGCATGTGCTTATTTTATACAAATAGGGATTGGATTTTGAGTACAAAACCAACTAGGTAACTCTTTTCCCTACGGACTGAAAAATTATTAATACTGGTACTTAACAGCGTCACAAGCCACAGGCAAATCTAGCTGCACGCAGAGCCTGGTCATTACAGGCTTTCATGCTTGCAGAAGAGGTATGTTGCAAAAACAAATTCCTTGCGTTGCTGGTTTTATTTTTTCTGAGAAGTAGATATCAGATTGTTGAAAGGTTTTTTGGATGATGTGTTCCGCCCTTTTGATCAGGTGAAGTTGAAGGTTTGCCCTGGTGAAGCTGGAACCTTACGCAGCAAGGAAAAGTGGGAAGAGCATGTATTGTCTAGATTTGGTAGAGCTGTAAAGTAGTGTTTTCCACCAGGCCTAATGGGGTGCTGACAAGCAAAGGCATAGTTGGAAATAAAGTTCGTACTTGGATTTTTATAAGAAGTTGTAGATAAAGTTCCTATGTAAAAGGAACATAGGAATCTAAAATATCTAAATCTAAAACGATGCCGTAAATTCTCAGGGTTGGTTAGAAAAAATACTGTTATCTGATTAAAAGCATCAATCTGATGTAGTGATGGTGTCATCTGTGGTTCCCGTGACGGACCTGTGAATTCAGAACATAAGTTCGCCATCAGTTAGGCTGAAGGAAGCAGAGAGACTCATGAAAAGACGCCCATAAGCAAAGCTGGGAGGTACTGAGACAGCTTATGCTCTGTGTGAAAGCAATTTTCTCCAGCTATCCAGCTGGAGAGGGCTGGCAAGAAGACAATGGATCTCAAAAAATAAATGTGATTAGGTTAATTCAGAGGAAGCTGCTTTAGATTTCCCTGCTGTGCCTAAGAATTACCATGCAGCCAAATACTGCAGGTCAGCTGTCATACGGTAACATTTTACACTCACAGGATGCATTTTCTAGCGTGTAAATCAAACCTTGAATAAGTAGTCCCTAAAGCACAAGGAGAGAGGTCGTCTCTGACTCAGATATTTTTATTAATATGAAGAACTGTGTGAGATTTTAGACCAATACTTTTCCGTGACTCTCAGTAGGAATTGCACAGCAATCCTGTGGCTGTGTTTGCACAAGCAAACAGGTAGCTGTAATTTATCACGGGAATGGCTTCACCATGGCGTGGGTGGAAGTTGTAAAATAAATAATATCTACCCCTCTAGATAATTTACACTTGCAAAGATTTCTAGTGTGCAGATAAGGCTTGTGTTTGCCAGGTAAGTTGTATGTTTTACTGAATTCCTTTGGTTTTGCCCCGACTAAAAGCATTATTGTTCCGCAGTTTAGCATGGTTTCATTGGTGGCTGCTGCTTATAGTAATTTTATTTCTTGGCCAAAGACTTGTACATTGTTGAAGGATGAAGACTTGTACATCTTTGAAGGATGTTCAGCTGGCTGCTGAAAGTTTTAACTGAAACAATACATTTTCATCAACTTAAACTGATCCAGTTTAGTTAGTTGAAGAACTTTGAGTCATCTGTTGCTTCAGGAATCTTGTAAAGGAAGGGAACACATCTGATACAATACTTTATTAACAGATCGTAACTAATGTGAGGTAGCCTTAGCTAGGCATTTGTCTTTTCTGCAGAACTCTCTCTGCTTCCGTGAGCTTTCTGTTCCCTTTGAACTGCTTTTATTTAAGATTAGCATTACTTAGTATGTTTTTGAAATGTAGCAAAAAGACTTTCAGCTAACGCTGATTTGGCTATGGGTTATGTCAAGCAAAACCCTCATATTTTCTAAAGTCTTTGCTGTCCCTGCTGTAAGGAGAGTTTTGGTGGTCTAGTAATTACAACCGCAGTGCGTTACAGTGCTCTGGGGCTTCTCATTTCTTTTGCTGTGAAGAAAAGTGTTGTACCAAGATCTGACTTACTTCTACATAGAGTAGATTTCTACATATTTTTTATATATATATATATATATATCTGTATTTTGCTGGAAGATCATTGATGTTCTCTCTGTGTTTCAGTCCATGAAGGCAGCCCACTGGGGGAACTTCATCGCTGTGTCCGAGATGGTGTAAAAATCAATGTCCATATCCGCACTTTCAAAGGGCTTCGTGGAGTCTGCACAGGGTTTTTGGTTGCGTTTGACAAGTTCTGGAATATGGTAATTATTGTTCCAGCCCTTGATTTATAACTGCTATATTGAAAACTTGAAATTTGCAACAGGTTTAAGCAAACTACATTTTGAGAAGATTAACGTGGTGTTGTGGTTCATAAAGCTAATTTGCTCTGGCACTGAGTGCTGGGTTTCAGACTTCAGTGGTGCTTGGTGTTGGATTGGTACGTCTGAGAGGTGCCTAGCCATCTTAGAGAGATTTTAGGTGAGGGAGCAGCTTTGAAGCGTTCCCAACAGCTTCAAAGGTTTTGTATAAGAACCCAGGAAGGTGGAATATGAGGAACATAGAAGCTTCCAAAGCTTTCTCTGCAAAACCCAATCTTCTTATAGTGGTAGCCACTTCTCTGTTTTCTTTCACTGACACGTCACTGGGATGTCAGTGGCAAAAGCTTTTCCCTGTGTTCTACCTCATGCAGATCTTAAAGACAGTGGATGGAAAAGCAGCTATTAAATATTTGTGAGCCTGGGGCTGTGAAAAGTTTGGAAATAGGTGGCGGGCGGGAAAGGATTTTGCAGGCAAGGCTCAGAAAGAGTTTGCAAGTAATATGGAACGGATGCTAGGCTTTGCTGTTGCTTTTATACCTCAGTACAACTTAGATGATTAAGAAGCCAGCTTCAAAGCACAGCTTGTTCCTAGGATGGATTTTCTCTCAGAGAGATTATAATTTCATAATCCTATGACACAAAGCCGGTCCAAAGCTTCTTCATGATTTCTTTTAGTTTTGACCTTTCTGTTTCTTTTATCTTCTTCTAGGCCCTGACAGATGTGGATGAGACATACAGGAAACCAGTAATGGGCAAAGCTTTCTACGCAGAACCTCAGCTCACACTAACCCGGGTAGGTAACCATCTCCAGTTTTCTTTTTTTTTAGTATCTCCTTTTTCAAAGTAGTAAAAGGGGAGCATTGATTGGAAAACTAGATTTACATTTGAAATATTTTACCTCCTTTTATTACAGATGACTCTAAAATGACTTGAACGGGGCGGGGCGGAAAACCAGTTTTCTAACCTTTTTGAAAGTCCTTTGGCCATAGTTCAGTGTTAGAGAAGTTCCACTTTAGAGTTCCTAATATCAGATCACCGTTGCTGCTACTGCTTAGTGCAACATGCTGACCTTCTATAAGCTCACTCTGTGGTTTTTGATTTATTTATTCTCTGCATTTTTTGCACCCATGACTGATCCGGTCCACATTTGTCCTGCCAGGTGATTTGGCAGTGCACAACTCCAATACTAATGTTCATGGAGCAACAGTCTTCTGTCTCCAGCCAGCAAAACAGTACGTCTAGGTACCATGAAGCCCAAGATTCTGCATGTTGCTCCAAAGCAAGACACTCTCTAGGATCCAGCTGCAAAAAAAGATGTTTACAAAGTTGGGAACTGAAGAGATGATAAATGAACTTCTGAACAATGAAGGAAAAAAAAATGTGACAGGGCTGTGCCTGTTGAATGGCATAGCTCTGGGCCTTTTGAACATCAGAGAAGCATCACAAAAACTTTTAAACAGTTTCATTGTGAGGAATTTGCTTTCAAATTCCTGCCATTTAAATCTGTTTTCTGATAGATCCCACCCTTCCTTTTTTAAAGATTAGTTAAAAATAATCAAGTTGTCATTGTTCCTTTAGCCCACTCTCACAGGGACTGGCTTTCCATCCTGTTGCTGGGAAGAGATGGGCTAACCGAGAATCCTTTCCATTTGTTAGTATTTCATAAAAGCTTGCCTGCTGCCAGAGTAAAAGCAGTTTCTTTGCCAGTTTCAGCACCACGTATTCTTAGATTAATGAGTTCATACAGTGCTTTGGATCTGCTGCTTTAGCTTTTATTATTTTTCCATTGTTTTTGGTCTGCTCACCTCCCAGAATACCAACACGGCCTCTTTTAGGTTGTTTTGGGGAACACAAAAGGTCCATCATTTTTTCAGTATACACTCTCTGCTGATTGAGGTCCCTTATCTTAGGGTTTCATGTCCTGCCTGAGGACACAAGGATGGAAATCTCTCTAACACTATCTGACAACATTACAAGAGCACTGGGGAAAGTGAGCTAATGGAGGAACTTGGTAGCTTTCTGTTGTTCCTGACCAAAATTAAATGCTACTGCACATCAGTTTTGCTCCCCAAATTAAATTCCTCGGTGCTCACATAAAGACACTCATGCGCATGCAAGAGATCCATTCACCTTAACGTCACGGTCTGACTTTGGCAAGAAAACATAGTATTTATTGCTGTAAAGATTCTTCACTAATTCTGTATTGTGAGCTCTGATTTGCGATCGTATACGCAAATACCATGTAGAAATACCAAACAAGCGGCCTCTCGTTTTATGAATGTGGTCATATACACAAATGTTCTTTTACAGCTGTTTGACAGACTCAAACTGCAGGAGTCTTCAGTAAAGAAGGGAGCTGACTCAAAGACTGTCTCAGAGGAGCTAGCCCTGACAAATGACTCTCAGACGTTTGGATGGAAAGTTGGATCAGGACGAGGGAGAGCAGAAGATGAGCGTGAGAAACAGAAACGCTTGGGCAGAGCTGGAGAAAAGAAGATGCCAGGTGACAGTTTGCATCTGGCTGCCAGAGGTGAAGCTGATGTGGGTAGCGGGACTGCCCACACGGAGGGTGCCAGTGCTGGTGGTACCCGTGCAAGAAGCCAGTCACGGAAAAAAAGGCGGCCCAAAGTGGATTATCAACAGGTGTTCACACGTCACATAAACCAGATTTTTATTCGAGGAGAGAATGTCTTGCTTGTCCATTTAGCACATTGACTTGACTGAGCCTTCGTCAGTGTATTTATTTGATAGCATGAATTGCGGCTGCAGCTCTCATTGCTATTTAGCGTTCTCATTAAGTATGATGGTACTGTGACTGGTTTCCCATTACCGTAACAAGGTAGGGGAAATAATTCTAACTGGAGCATCCTGAGCTTGATACCAAAGCAGCCTCCTTAGATCTCTGTTGGGGGTCTCAGGACAAGGTCAGTAACACAGTTGTTTCTGTGAGATGAGGGAGGTAAGCACAGATCCCACCGCTCCTTAAAAAGAAGCTAAATGGAGAGGGCTGGAAGAGAATTTTGGTGTACTCAGTTATAGGAGCTAATTGTGGCACACATTTAAGGAGCTTAAGATTAGATCTCCACCTGAAATGAATCACAAATGCTATTTTGCATGTTCTGAGTAATCTCAAGAGAAGATTGCTAATGAAACCAACAGTTTATCTGCTGTCGTTACATGGATGTATCCTTTTCCAGACATAATTCTGATGGTCATTTTGAGATAGTCCATAAAAAGGTGGAGTGACATACTACTGATGCCTATTAGCCTCTTCTTCATAGTTAGCTCTGTAATGCCCTGTGTGATAGAAAACCTCTTAATTGAAAACTGCTCTTTTTCTGTGAATGATGGCAGGACTTTAATTTGTTTTCAATATGAAAGCTTAGGCTTCTGTTTGTAATGCTGTGTTTTAGCCCTGTGTCACCAGCAAGCAGCTAATGCAGCTGATCCAGGGACCTCCATATTTGGAGCTTATCTCTGAATGTTGTGGATGCAGATGGAAAATTTTACTTCTATATTTCACCCATTCGCTACTTAGTGTAATAGTGAAGTTTGCAAAGATGTGGTTTTTCTTCTCAGATTTAAGTGTTTGTGCTGAGCACAATTGTACTGTATCTAAGCGCCTTTCAAGTTCCCTCTATTGAAACTAGAGGTGCTGTGTCTCCAGCAGTTCTCATGGAGCAGAAATCCTCATGGGTCTTTCCTATCCATATGAATGATGCATCATCTAATTCCAGTTGAACTGAACTTTAGAGGTGTGCCTAAAATTGTTTTGAAGTATAAAAGTCAAACTCAGCTCATCAGTGTTTTTATTTTAGCAAGGTTCTTAAGCTACTGTAGATCAGGCCAGGCTTCTGCAGGTATAAACTGCTTTCCAAGACCTACGTGCAGAATTTTGAGGGTAAATGAAGCTATTATATTATCTGGTCTGTTCCCCTAGTTATCAAAGGACACTAGATTTCACACTGCTATTCCTGTATTCGTCTCAACTACCTTATGCTTTGCAGCAGCTCCATGTGTTTAAGATGAAGTTGGGAAATTGCCAGGGTAATGGTTAGATCTGACAATGGGTAGAACAACTTTTTAGTGCTTTATAGCAGGTCTTGTATTACATATAGAGGTCGTAAGTCCTCAAACTGAGTGACTGTAATCTCAGTGCCATGTATTCCTGTTGCTGTAAATGCAGCATACGGCTTGCTTGTTGTTAGGGATATGGCTGGTGCTTGGCTGAATCACAGAAATCATTTAGCAGGAGTTCCTGGACAGACAAAGCAGCTGTATGCCTCTGGGGGAGCCTGAAACTTTTATGTCAACATTTCAGATGACACGGCGCTTGGGTGGCTGATCAGCTCAGCCACTGAGCTGCAAACCCAAGTTCAGGCTGGGACAGAAGTGCCTCAGAGTAAAAAGTACTGTTGACGCAAATCAGTTTCATTAAGAGTGAAAAAGAAAAGAAAAAAAAAGGAAAGAATATCTGCAGTTTCTTATTATACATAGCTTTATTGCTGTAATCCCTTCCTACTATGAACTGAGACTAGGCACTGAAAAGATTCTTCTCTTGGAGGTTCTTGTTTCCTTTCCTTTTGTGCTGTTCTTGTTTGTGTTCTTGTGGTCTGCAGTTCTTCCCTTGTTTTTTTTCCCTTCTCCTGTCAGTACTTTGTCTCCTCAGGACGTTCTAAACTCCAGTTTAGGAAGATTGTTCTTGTATTCACCCCTAGTTGTCCTGGCTTTCTGAACCTTTCCTGGTTGGCTTTCTATGTGGTTGCCAACTGACTAGAACCCTCACAAATTATTAGAAACGTGTGAAGCTAGAAATAAAGGGCTTATTTCTGCTCCTGACTTCTCAGCAGCTTTTACTGCAAGTGAATATTTTTCTTCATGTTTTTGGTTGTGGGTTGTTTTTTCCCCTCTGCTTTCTGAGTGGTTTGTTTTTATTTCAGTTGCTTGGGATGACTATCTCTGCCTCTTCCATTCATGCCAAAGGCTACTCGTTTTGACACCTCTCCTCTTTCCTTCATACTTGACCCAAGGGTGTCAAATCTCCACTCAGGCCTATGTACTATGACATCTAATTGAATTCTTGCTTTTCTTTACCTCATATTCTTAATTCTCTTTGTCTGCCTAGTTTATACTGCCTTGTGCATTAAATAAGGTACAACTACCATGAATGTTCTTCTGGCTGCACTGCCCTCTTTCCCTGTCAGTTGACACTTCACCAAGTTCTCAGTTGCTACTAGAAGTCTCAGTGTTTTCTTTCATCAGAAGTTTTTCTCTGAAACCTTGCAGGTGTTTGTTGCTTCACATCTACAAGTTTCTTTTTTTAGATTTTATGAAAAATGCTGGTGCTTAGACTTGCATTTGTGCCTTGATTTTTTTAATATCATCACTGACCTGTTCTTCCAAAATCATCACCTCGGTCAACAAATCTGGTTAAGAACTATACAGTTTGTCTACTTTTTTTGCTCTACCTCATTATTAAACTGTTCCTCCTCTAGTCTCATTGTTGTCTCATTTGTGGGGTTGATTAAAATTCTCTCTGCCAGTTTAGATTTAATGGCTTATTTGGTGCTTCTTCCTTTGTTTCCTACTTCCCTATCCACCTCTCTCATTATTTCCAAGCTGCTTCCTGAATACAGCCTCTTCTACAACTTCAGATCTTCTAAAGTGTCTTCCTTTTCCCTACTTTTTCTGACATTGTATCTTTTTAAAGCCCATTATCAAAATGCTATTTTATGAATTTTGTCTCTTTCAATCATAGCATTTGTGATTTTGTCTCTTTCAAGCATCATGATTGTGACTAGGCAAGTGATCCTGTATGTTTGTTGTCACTTGCATGTTTAATACTTCAGATAAAGTTGCTCTTTAAATAAAATTGAATGTGATGTTCTGAAATGAAGTCTTCTACCTCACTTAAGTATTCATGTAAATCTGTTAAAAAAAAAAAAGAAAACAACCCTTGGAAACAAATGAGCTTTGGTTTTTTTATTGCTTCTGGTTATTTATTTCCATGTTTTTCCTTTTCCAAACTCAGCATAAAATCCATGTTCTTTGTTCAAAAAGCTGTCTGCTCCTAGCCATTCCTCTCTTGCTGCAGTGTCACAAAGATGGTGTGAGCATAGACACCTGAGGTCATTATGCTAAAGAATGAAGAGCAGGAGCAGGAGGCAGTCTTAAGAAAGAGAGCTGTGTGAGAGTGAAAAAGCTTTGGGCCAAATAAAAATAACTCTCTGGAAGGGATTCACATACTGGTTGCAATCTCTCCAGTATTTCTAGGACATTGTTCAGCCTGGTGCTCAGCAATGATTCCTAAAGCGTGTTTATGGTGAGGTACCAAATTACTGCAAGGAGCAAAGTTTTCTGAACTACCTTTGAAGGAGTGTTGTCATAATTTGAGAATTTTTTAGAATCATTTCTAAAATAGCAGGCAAATATGAAACTTGTGAAGTGTTATGATGCCAGCTGCAGAAACGATGCAATGCAATAGTCTTGGAATGTGATGTCACAGATACATCTCATGGTGTCATCATATATATCTTTTCATTGCCAGCAGAGTTCAGTAGGGAGCCAAGTCTCATGGTTACTTAAGAGTGGCGATTTTATTTGTACGGTGATATAATTCTAGGGACCTTTGCAGATAGTCTGAATGGGGTTTTCATGGAACCACAGCATAAAACCTTGCTGTGCTGTGGGAAAGTGGGGAAACTGGTAGGGAGAACCAGGCTGAGAGCTGCAGTGTTACCCTACAGTTACGGGTATCATGGCTGGGATTATTTCTTGCGAAACTCTTTTGCATGGGTGGTTCATTTTATTGAACACTTCTTAAACAGGGCTGTGGTAGTAGAATAGATAAGGCCAAAGGAAAAAAAGGAGCTTGTAAAAAGCGTGGTTTTAGTTCCTTCTCTCAACTGACTTGTCCAGCTTGTTAATTGCCTGGAAGTTTTTTTTCTGATCTAGAGACAGATACTTAGCATGTCCTCACCAGGTGATTACTGAAGTAGTTGGTGAGTACTGTTTTCCATCTGCTTCTTGTCCTTCAGTTTCTGGATTCATTGTTTCTGATGCAGCTTTCCCTTCTGTATCATTTGGAAGCAGGGCAAGGTCTCTCAGCAGGAGTAGGCTTGACTGCCCACTGTTTTTTTTCCCCCTCCCTAAGGAATGTTACCCTGTCTAGTTTTGCATCCAGATAGCCTTTGGCTAGTCTTGATTTTCATACTATTCTCTGCAGACTTTTGGAATTATTTGGTGAGAAGAATTACTTATCTTGGATCAGAGGGAGTAAGCTGATTTTTTTTTTTTAACTTATTTTCCTTCCCACAGTGCTAGATTTTCCTAGTTTGCTGTTGCAGTCACCTACTTGCACCTATGAATCACCGTGGGTGAAGAAGTGTCCAGGAAAAAAGAAGCAGACAAAAAAGATGTCTAATTTTTGCTGAATTTGACATTCTGTCCAGCATGCTGCCCACACTTACCCTTTCTATTGCTTACTGGCACTGACCTAAATGAGACAGGTGGAAACAATGATTTCATCCAGAATCTTGAAAGAAAATGGAAAGGCAGTAGGGACAGCAAACTGTGAAAACACTCTGAGTTTCTGAAGATGTATATCTCCAGGTGAACTTCCTGTCTTTGATTAAACAGATCAGAATTATAACCACCATCTTAAACTGCAAGCTCTGCAACTGGATAGAATTGGAAGGCACAGTACTACACCCTTTCAGAGGCAATGCAGCAGCAGTAGCAGTGATTCCTTCAGCCAGGCAAGTTCTTTCCTGAGAAGCTGTTGAGTTACACGTTGGTGTTTGCCTCAAAGCATAACTGTAAAATACTGCGAATTAATACATAGATGTTTTCACTCCTGGCTGCATTGCAAAGTATAAAACATAATTGCTAGAGTATGTATCTTCTGCAGCCCAGAGCTATTTCAGTTCATGCTTTCGTTTCTTGACATCAGCTTAATAATTTGAAGATTGTACTATAGCAATCCTGAGACTGTCTTTGCTAAAACGTTATGAAAGGCTAACACTAGAAATGATATTGAAAAGCTAGGGGATTACAAAATTTGTGGAATTCTTATTGTAATTAAGGTCTTGCAAACCAAAAATCTCTATTCACAAGGATATTATCAAGATGCACAAATGGAAATGTATGAAGCCACAACTGGAAGAAGAGAGGATGAAGAAATGCTTCCTTTCTTCTAGTGAAGGAAGATGATCTTCCTAGAGTGAAATAGTAATTTCAAAGCTAATTCTCCCAGTTTCCAGGCTTGATGGTAGGTGGGCCTAAACAGTCCGAAACTCAAAGTGAATTAGTCATTGATCAATGTGATCAATCTGATCAAAACAGAGCTCAGAGACATGGCTGTTTGCAGACTTGAACAGTCTAACTTTACAATGAGAGCTTCTAGAGAAGTAACTCCAGTTTATAGTCCTCAGGCATCTACAGCACTAGCTCCATGCAAAGTTTTCTTGGCGTTATTATCCTCACCCATAAGAAGATGACAAATACAAGGGTTCATGATGTGCTGTCCTGTATTATCTTGTTCAAGAAGCTGCTCTGTACTTAGTGGTGAGATCTGACTAGGTGGATGAAGACAGGGTGTTCCGGAACTCAAGGAGAGAGACCTAAAATCTTAGTAATATCCTTCTAGCTAATGAGCTGGAAGTCTAGCAAAGGAGGAGGAGAGAGTCCAAGCTGAGCTTCCTTTTTTAATTTACCAAAAATATTAATGCCCTTGGACCAAAAGATAAGAATGCACTCAGGTTTTTGTTTAGAAACTTTAACTTGGTCAGACTTTTTTCCAGCAGTGCCTGTGTCTCACCTTCAGATAAGCATTATTACAAGGGTTTTTTAAAAGTACTTTGCTGTTCATGTAGCCAGTAATGTGCATTTCATATCTAAAAGGTGCTTTTAAGAGCCACTGTCATTAGAAGCAAACACCCATTTTCAGGAGGTTGCATGTCTTTTCTTCCGTCCTGACTCTGTAACCTAAGATGAAATTGGGAACAGCCGGATGCAAGTAAAGCAGTTAAAATTTGCTTGAAAAGAAAAAAAATTTTAAAAAATCACAGCTTTTTCTGTCAGGTGTTGCTGATGTATCAGGAGGAAAAAGCATCAATTATTACATGGTAGAAACATTGTGGAGCAAAACCTTACTATTTAAGAGCATCCTTTGCTGCCATGTTTTTTACCCATTAGCAGCCTGGGCAGAAAAAAAAAAATGAGGCCGCTTGGGAAGAGACAGGCAAGACGGTCCGACGGTCTCCCTCCAGGGTGGGCACTGCAGGGTCAATGCACTTGATGAAGACTTTTCTTGACGGAAAACCAATTGTGCATAATCTACTGTAAGTATAACATGTTACCTCTCTGTACGTTTTCCCAACTATAGGCTTTCATGGCATGCTGGAAGTGGGAAAGCAGGCCAAGAAAAAGGAGGAGAGAGGAATTACTTTACTTGGTGATAGCTCCTCGAAATGGGGGGTCGCTTTCTAGCCTGTACACTTGGGCATAATTTGGCCAGCATTGGGCAGTTGTGCTCTATAGGTGAAGGGGGGAGTATGCAGGGACAGTTCTCGAGTGCAGCCTCCGTTACGTTGTGAGCGTTTCATGGTGCATGAACTCTGCCAGACTCCATCCCTAATAACTGATACGTTTGATCTTGCCTCTAAAGTTTTGCAGAGGAAACCCGGTGGAAGAAAAACAAGTAAGCACATTTCCCCTTTTGAGGCAGGGATGGTAGGAGGCTTGGTTGTCCTTGTTAGCTTCCTGGGGGTGCAGGAGAAAGAACTACTTTAGTGGAGGAATATCAGA